CATCGATGGGCGGAGGTTGATTTGCTGTCTCCTACCGGTGAGCACAAGGTCTAACCTTTCGTAAGATAATTACCCCCGCTAAAGGTGTAAATTTTAGTGGGTGTTTCATGGAAACTACCACTAAACACTGAGCTACAAAGCTAAAAAGCTAAGTTGAACCCGATGGCTAGGAGGCACCAAGGCTGGGTGAATAACGTTGGGCTTGCCTTGAAACCATTTAGAGGATTTCGAGGATGCCACTTTGGACCCAGATTTGGCACGAAACTACGCAATGCGCGCCAAAACGATTTGTGCAGCGGTGCTCTGCATTGAACCCATAGTTTTGCAGTTTACCCTTCCACCAATTCACATGGAACCTGACAGGAGGGCCCCTTTAAAAGAAACATGGGCCAAAGACAAAGACCCCCCCAAAACGTCAGGTCCCATGCTAATTGGAGGGAGGGTAACTCCTGGCACACGTCTTAAAAGCCTGCTTCTGTCTCATCTATGAGACCCCAGGAATTTTCCTGCCATAAAAACAAACCGCCTGAGATCTACAGGGCCGCGTCCGGATGTCCCATTCAAGAGTTGCACCCATTCGACGTATGTCAACCCAAACAGCATGGCTGGCGGAGTTTTCTTTGGAGCCCACTAAACATGAGAACAGGAAACCTGAACACCAAAAACACTAAAAGCCAACAGTGAAGATGGGGTTATTTGATTTTGGGTCGACATTAAACAACCAGGCTTCGGGGGTCTCACAAACTCGCCCAGCGAGTTTAAGCCTTTGGGATGGGTTTGGGCGAAGCAATGCAAGCGGACTTTGCTGACGTCTAAGCTGCGCATGTCCAGTCGCCTGAATCGCTTTGCGAACTCAGTGACCAGCATGAAAGCACAAATTCCACACCAAGGAAGAAGGGAGTGCTGCCCTGAATCGTTTGCATCTGACCATCACATGAATGTTGGCTGGACGAAGCCTGACTGGCCCTTTGCCAAAATTGGACTACAAATTAACGAAGACATGAAGCGTGTCAACCCTGAAAGCTGGAACTTGCCTTGTGCCTGTCATGTTGCAAGGCTTCAGGCAAAACTCAGTTTTAGGGGCAGGGCAGATTTTGTTCATCTGCAACCTCCAGCCCCCTATTTTTGTCCCGCTTGATAAAACATGAATTCATACCTGGTATGTATATATATATATATAAAGGAATGTGATTCTGAACAAAAAGCACAATTTACTCACATGCCCAGTGGATTTCCATGGGGAAAAAGAATCGGCCTTCTTGTTTGGTTGGTTGACTTTAAAGGAATCGGAACCCACACGCGCTACAAAGAGGCATGAACAAAGAGCGGATCCACTGGTGGCAACTGGGTCTACGAAACATGACTAAAGTAATATCTGTTTAGCCAATATGACTAAAGTAATATGGCTGTGGGTCAAAAAGATGTACCAAAATGGCACCCTGGTAAATGGAACCAAAAACTAAAACCTGCGTACCCCTACCTCGTTAATTTTGAGCCACAGCCATATGACTAAAGTAATAGTCAAATTTACAGCCACTGGGTTTAGCCAACATAATTAGGCGATACCTAATTTGTTGGCTGAGCCTCCGAGCAGCTGCAACTTTTTTGGGGGCCCCACTGCAACTCCACCAATAGGAACCGCCTGCTTTCCGCCGGAGTCTCCATGACCATCAAAAAAAGGGTGGGCACTGCAGAAAATAAGCGAAATAAGTGGGGCCATGATGCCTTTGTTCAAGAGTCAAGGCTCTAAGTCTAATTGTTCTAGGGTTTGATTCCCCATTTGTTTCAACCATCGTTCTTTTCAAAACCGGATCCGTTTTCCCTGGGTTTCTTGTGGGTTTTTGGAAAGAAAGAATGGGGAGGGTACCCCAAGAATTGCAAACCCCCTAACCCTTTGGGGGCTCTTTGGGGGTTGGTCTAGGGTCCCTGGTCGTTGGGGTGTGGTCCTCGGGGTGTGATGCCCAGAAACAGGTTCAGGCATAGGCGCTCCCTTCTTTGCTTGGCCCTCGTTAACAGAACGAGCTGCCTCGCAGGTGCAGCATTGCAACGGAGTTCCCAGAAAATTCGTCAAACGGTAGGTGTACGCTGACTAGGTCCTCCAGCAGAAAGGTTAGAATAAGGGTACCCAATTTGTCTGTAGTCTATTGTAGTAGGGGAACCCTCTCCCGAAAAAAGAAGAAGAACAAAACGGTCAAAGGGCACCTGGCTGGGGGACCTAGCTGAGGTCAATCCACCGGGGGTTCATATAACTTATAACTATCGTTTACCTAAGGATTGTCATCGTCCAAATTGGGTCAACCATTCTGAATGGGGGTTGAACCCCACGGTATAGTCTATGGTCAATTTGGAAAGGGACATGGGGGGACTCACTGCATTTCCCACAAGAAACGGACCCGCACATGTTCCTACTGTAGGTCCTGAATACGGGATCTGCATTTTCTGACCGCAGCTCGCATGATTTCCCCCTTGCGAGCCAGTCGTGCGGCTTCTCTTTTGCTTCCTAAAGGACGACGAACTGATGATCTACCAAAGCACCACCCGCTCTTGGGTCCAAGGTTCGGCTGCACATCTGTCTGGGCTCGGAACAAGGATGCGCCTAGAGTATCTGCATACAATTGTAGTATATGCGGCAGGGTCACAATTCCTGACGCGGACCGTGGCCGTTCAATAGGAAACCTTATACTGATATGGTCTCAACCCCCTCTACACGTATTGCACCCTTGAGTTGACATGAGTTGACACTAAGATGAAAGGCCGTGACTCATTGAAAAGTTTGATCCTTCCAAAACGCCAACGTAAAAGGACCTCTTCTCTTCAGGGATCGCTTCAGACACTGGCAGCAAACAGCGAGAAAATGAGTTATTTGTGAGAAGAAGAATGGGAGAAGAAAGTGGGAATCACTCAAGTGATTGGAAAAATGAAAGTTCTACTCGGGAAGCCACCCGTATGTCGCAGTGTTTGAAGGTCCTTGAAAGTCATTTTCGGGAACACTAACAACCAGTGGTCGCACCTAAGTAAGAGCTTGTCTCAAAACCGGGGACCCTCACAATTGGTGCATTTCCGTTTGTTCCCGTTCTCAGTTGCCCAAAGGACCCAAACATGGACCTTCGCTGAAAAATAAACCACATTCCCCTGAAAAAGAAGAAAACATTGGGATTGTTGGGACCTTGACTAAAAAACAAGCAAACTTCCCACAGACAAAATAATTAAAACAAAACACCAAGGGGACGTTGACGGAAAAGAACAACTCCCCAAAATCAAAAAACAACAAACACACCATTGGGACGTGGCTGCTAGTAGGAACCCTCCGCTTCAGTGCTGCTCTCATCAGGCTCAGCTCCGCATTCAAATCGCCGCGAATGGAATCGCCGCGATTCGAATCGGCGCGGATCACGGCGATAAGGTTGCCCCCGAACACCCCAAGACCAAACCAAGGCAAAGATATACTGTATGTACATATACATATACATATAGATATATACAGATATGTCTATATCTCTATATATATACATGTTATAGAAATTAGCTATCCCCAGAATTCAAAAAAAGGTTTCGTTTTAAATCGCCTTTGTTTTCCAGCGTGTTAGCCCCGTTCTACGCGAATACATGTCCAGGCGGCGGAAAATGTTGGGGATCCCTCAACTATATATATATATATGTATGTATATGCGTACGTATATATATATATATGTATACATGTGTATATATATATATACATATATGTATAGATGCCTTCCCGAACCTACAGCCGAAATTGCATTCCCGTCTTTTGAGCCCCAGGCATGTTGTCCAGCATCTTGCATCTGCAATATCAGAACCCACTTGTAATATGTTGAGTCTTGAAAATCACCCACTTGTAAGCAGAGCTTCGAATCTTGAATCTCATCCATGTGTCACAAGCGACGGTCGTTTTGGAAGTTACAGCTCCAAAAGCCCAACCTTTCAGTATAAGAGTAAGCAAAGTAGACCTTGGCAGCTTCAACGTACCTGTAGTGCTGTGGATGGACGAAATCCATTTCGCACCACTTGGAAACCATGGGGCACCATTGTTGGTTGGTATTGCAGGGAATCATCATTCCAGGGCTTTTTTAGGTGGCGCAGGATTTTGTCCATCCACGGTAGCTCTGTGCAAACTTTTCATTTTCAGTCGTCTGGCTTTGCGGGGAAAATCGGCAAACCTGCGCAACATTCCCAATGAACCACAATTGGGGGCCAGAAATGCGACTTCTTGAGTTCTTTTCTAGAGCGGGGAGTGGCACCAAATGACAGAAATGATAGTGTTTTGTGCTTTTTTGTGAGTGGGGGCAAAACCCTCGCAAATAGTATGTGAAACAGGTATTATTCTGTTTTTTTTTGGGGAGGACCATATAGTATATATTATATATAGTCATGTATGACATATGAACAGACGCTGCCTCAGCTTTAACCGCGGAAAAGGGGTGCCAAAGGGGTGCGGTCCCTACCCAAGTTGAAGCCAAGGGAACCCCCTCTCCCACACGGGAGAAGAAAAAGGGCTGCGCTTAACAGGGTAACCAGGTACCTCTAGATTTTATATGATGGTTCCTCCTGGCTACTATAGTGGCATCTAGCATGTACTTACTATTCATGCATTTGCTTAAGTCCCCTGAGCAAAAAGAAACAAAACATATTTCCAGTAGTGAAAACTGTTCTTTAAACCCATTGCCATTTCCCATATCACACTTAGTCAAGGTGCATTTAGGGGGAATGCTCCCGTATCTCTGGTTCCCCCTGTATCCCTGCTAGTTGGTTTCCCTGACCCAATGCTTATAGCAACCCCCCTTCCCCAAACAGAAAAGGAACAAATTGCTGTAATAAGGGTAAAAGGGTAAAAGAGAGGGCACCTAGCCTTACCCCTTAAAACTCCAAGCCCTGGGGAAGTTAATCTTTTACAGACATTTAGCTCATGTTACCCAAAAAGTTGAAAAGTGTTGTTGTTAAAAGGTAAGTAGCTGGGGGACGACTGGCACCGGCCACGCATCTCACTGCGGATTCTCCGGCTCCGGCTCCGGCACGTCGATGCCCAGCTCCTAGCTGCCGCGGCTGGTGAGGCGGGTACCCAAAATCAACCGAAGAGCTTAAAGGCAAAGCCACAGAACCACACAAAACACATTATATATATATATATGTATGTATGTATGTATGTATGTATGTATGTATGTATGTATGTATGTATGTATGTATGTATGTATGTATGTGTATGCATATATATATATATATATGGCACCCCCCCCATGGACCCTGGTTTGGTAATATATATATATATATATACATATATATATATATGGTACCCCCCCCATGGACCCTGGTTTGGTAATATATATTATATATATATACATCAACGTTTCAAGAAAAAGCAAAAGAACACCCGACAACCTATTTAGCATTTGCAAGAGTTAAAGGACTGCGCCTGTCTGGGGCCCTGGCCATCTTTAGCTCCGGACAAGGAATCGTTGACTTAGTCGGCCAGACGAGCGGCTAGACGACCTAAGAGCCAGCTCGGCATGCCTCAGGAAACACAAACAGGCACCAGGGCCGCAGACAAGCAACCTCAAAACACCTGAAAAGCAACCAAGAAACACCAACAAGGGGCTAGAGCCACGGAAAAGCAACCCAAGAACAAACGCTGGGAGCCCGATGGCCGGGGAGCCAAGAAAAAAAAAAAAAAACAGCGACAAATGGGTCTGTCTGTTGTTGACGGAAAACCCACTAGTTGGAACGGCTTAAAATGGAAACCAAACGAAACCGTTGCGCCATTTGTGAGGCTTCGATTTCAACGATTACACCGCATGGCTAGAAACCACGAAGCAAGAAAACACAGCCGCATGAACAAACCCATGGGGTGATGTAAAAGAGACCAAACCACCATTTTGGAATATTTTGGAGGGGGATCTGATTCCTATGCTAAGACTCAAATGAACATCCCGTTGACGAACTGTTCGCGGTGTAGTGGGAAACCCAACCACTCAACCAACTGCAAAGCAAGGTGACCCCTGCTCAAAGTGACTCACTTTTACATGTGACTCACTTTTAAATGTACACCTATCAACCCCCATATCAGCCCCCATATCAACACCCATATCAGCCCCCATAATGTACACCCAACCACTAAAAACAAAACCATGGCAACATCGCAGCTCTGCTTGCGCCCGGAGAAAACAGAAAAAAACTCCCCCCCGCCCCCCCCCCCGCCCCCCACCCGCCGTTTCCCCTCCCCCCCGGGAGCCAGAAAAAAAACGGACAGAGCCACGACTTCGACTTCGCTCTCGTCCTTGAGATCCGTCAAGGTCTTGCCTCCCGACAGGTACCGCTGCCCCACCAAGGTCTCCAGGCCTCCGCCGCCCGCACGGGAGCCGCTTTCGGGTGGAGTGGCTCTGCGACCCGAAACCAAGGGCCTATGTTTGTGTTGTTTTAAGACAATGAATGTATTAACAAAAACGAAGACAAGAAACAAAGGGGCTATGTATCAAAAACGAGGACAATGCATAATGTGTGTATATATATATTTGTCGGAACAAACACCAGAAGAAAATGAAGCATGTTTTGTACTGAGACAAGACACCAAGTGCTCACTTCCGATCGAGTGGCTGGGCCGAAAACACGTCCACACGTTGTATTTACTTCTAAAGGGGACTTCCCAAAAAGTGACTCAAGTTCAGGAAATCGTGAAGTGAGACTGTGGATATCTTAGCCAGTTGCTTAAGTCCACTGGAAAACATATGTCCAGTAGTAGTGATAGATTCCCTTTAAAAACCAACAGGAAATAACGCATATTCTTGAGCAAATGGAAGGAGAACATAGGCTTGTACGATTAGGCGTTGATTCCTTGTCCATTATTTTCAACCATCGTTCTTTTCAAAAACCGGATCTGTTTCCCCAGGGTTTTGGGTGGTTTAGAAAGATCCGGATGACTGGAAAGAATGGAAATGGAAGGTAGCCCTACAACCAGCCGCTTCGTCGGCTCCTCGCAAGCCGCCAAATGGCCTAGATTGAAGGCAGCCCAGATCCCAGAAAAGATACCCGTACGGGTGTGGTTTTTAGGGGACCCCCCTGAAGTGGTGGTTTTCCTTTCGGTTTCCCAAAACCACGGGAAAGGGGCACCATCAGAAAAGACGGACCCATACTCATGGTTGGAATGTGGTGAGTTGTCGCCGCCTTGCTTTGTCTCAGATAATCCTTTGGTGGTTTGAACCTCCGTTCCCCTGACACCTGGGAGATACCCCATCCAAGCCACCGCATCGCCAGCTTCACATCCATCGATCTGCTCGCGATCATCTCGTAGCTTTCGAGTGAACCGCCTCAAGCTGACGCGACAGGCATCGGCAGTAGTCGTCGGCGTAGGTTCCCACGCATCGTCCTTCGAATTCATCCTGACGATGGCAGTGCAGACGCCTTCATTGGGCACTGTCAAGCTTGCAAGTTCTCCCATCTGGAACAGGATGGCCTTGGGCCGCACAGCACTCCACGTAGAACTCATCCACAAAAAATCAGGGGCGCTGGATTCCAACGTCCCTTTCGACCATGCCTCACCTGAAAGATGAGCATAAAGGAAGCCTCTCGCTCTATGTACAGTAGGGGGAACGACAGATATACGTATTATATTAATGAACAGACTCAACCTAACTACTTTAGAGGAATCTTCGTTGGTGAGATGCGTTTCTTGCTGATTTTACGTGTCGTTGGAATACTGTTTTACTCAGCACTGAAGGATAAGCATAACCCAATTCTGCAAGTCTACTAAAATCGCGCAGCACAACTTTTCGAACTGATGGAATCCACAAACGCAATCATGCTCCAGCTTTGCCCGACAGGAACTTCAGGATCTCCAGTCGGGTCATCGTCAATCCCCGCCCCGGACGCAACGTGTGGAGGGGGGCCCTGAATCAAGTATTCTTGTTCATGCATCTCGCAAGGTACAATGGGAAATATTGCTCTGCCTTTTTGTTGCAAGCTCACCTGCAGTAACTCGAGCTCAACATTCTTAAGGTTGTTTACCTAAGAATCCCTTGTTCAAGGTATTGGATTTGTCACTTTTCGCAGATTCAACTTCTGGTTGGTTGGGAGTGTCACTAATCAAAGGGGAACCGGAGTGCTAGGCATTGCGTCCGAATTCACTCATGACAAAGTTGCGCTTTCTTGGCTTGAGCAACTCATACCATTCACCCACATGTGGCAATGAATTTAATACGGAACCACTTCCGAAGTGGTGGAACCTAAATGATGTCCGCCAAAGGGCCCCTAATTAAAGTTCATGCACGTGTATCGAACCAGAATGTTACCAATTGTTTTGCGCATTTGAAAAGGATATTTTCATGAAGCCGGCGCCATTCAGCGATTTCAGGGGGCGATTGCTTGTGCTCACACGGGCACATGAGCATTGGCGAGTACTGGAGCACAAATTCCCTCTGAAGGAGCTTGAAAACATCTGTAGTACACTGATAATGATATGCTTTGAGTGTTTTCTGATGTAGTCTACTAGTCTACTCTAACATACTCTAACAACGGGGCTGCCTGGATTTCCCCAAATCAAAAGTTTATGAATTGACTGTTACTTTTTGGAGGCGCCAAAAGGGAAAATGAAGGAAGCCCTGTTCCTGGGTACCTTTTTGGGCAAGGACAAGTGAAAAGCACCTACCCTACCGAAAAAATAGAAGAGACCCCGTTTTGGTGGGCGGGTAGTAAGCCTTACCCTTGCGTCGCGTAAGCCAAGACCTGCACTCAGACCCGGGCATCCCTTTTGCAGTGCTGGAAGAGGGCAACCAAAGGGAAGCTGGGGTGTGGGAAATGGAATGCACGAATCTGTGATACAGAAAGGAAGGCCCAAAGACATTTTCCCCCATGCTATTAAAAGGGGGAGTGCCCCTAAGATATCACAGAAGTGGGGGATAAACCCCACCCACAACCCTTTTGGAGCCTTCCAAACCCAAACGCCTCTTGGTGCGTAGGGTTGTGGAGAACCAGACCCTATCCCACCGCATGGAAGCTCACTCTATTGAGCTAAGAAACAAATCAGAAAACCAAAAACCTCAAACAACTTGGGCCTGTTGCGGCTGAGGCCCAGAAAGCGTTCTGGTTTTCTTGCTCTTGGGCTGTCCGAGTGGTACCATTCCTCGAGCGCAATTTTTTAAACTTGCCACCACTGCCACCACCACCACTACTACAATTACTACAACTACTACAACTACCACCACCACTACGACTCCTGCTGCTGCTACTTCTCAAATACTACCACCACCACCACCACCACCACCACCACCACCACCACCACCACCACCACCACCACTGCTGCTGCTGCTGCTGCTGCTGCTGCTTCCACGAGCACCCCAATTATGTTGCTTTGCAATTTGGCCCAAGTGAAGGGACTGCCCCCCCCCCCCACAAAAACACAACTTGTGGTCCCCCAACAGCCGCAAGCCCCGGGAACCCGAAAACCTCCCTAAAAGCTTCTCCGAACCACTCCGGAGCCTATCTGGAGACCCCCAACTCAGTTGCCCAAAGGACCCCCAAAAAAGGTTAACCTTTTGGATTACTAAAACTGGATGGGAAAACCAAAAAGGTTCACCAAGGTCGGTTTTCAACAACTGAGCTAAGCTTTCAGCCGAAAAAAGAGAACGTCACCCGCTGGTCTGGGCAGCCTCAACCCCCCGCAGCCCTGGTCGCTTGCCTGCCATAGCCTCCAGCAGTCGACTGTCTTGCGAGATCCCGAAGCGCTCCTCGCTCGTTTTTGGTGGCTCCACAGCCCCATTAACCAACGAAGTTGTGGATAAACAAATTAAATTCTGAGCGAAAAACTTAGGAAACAACCATGAACAAGATCAACTGTTTATCAGAGAGCCCGGTAAAGAGGGGTGTCTTTTAAAAGGGTTGCGATTGCTTGCGCGCAATCATGTAGCATCCCACCGAACCCAATTGTTGGACTTTTAGGGTCAACGAAAATCAAAAACAATGGGATGAGCCTTGGCACATTTGCTTAAGGCGCGGTCGACACCGTAACTATTCCCAGTAGGCCGACCACACTTGACCGCAAAACCGTGGTGAATTCCGACAATATGGGGCCAACCTTGCTGTCCTACTCGACATATTGCAATAGAGCAAAAACCGTCCCTCGAGGGTATGGGTTGATCCAAGACACAAGCTGACAATCTGCGACTGACCCAAACTTCAAGTGAAGCAAGGGAACAAGGGAATTCCTCTGCAATTTACCTATACCGGCACATGTAATCTGCCGCAGCAAACATCGCGATCAAGGTTCACTCAATTACACCGACCATAGGGAAAAACCAGGAAGCGTGCCAACAACCTACGCATGCCCACCAGACCCAGAGTTTCGCCCGGTTTTGGCTCACTTCCCATAGACGTCGCAGGGGGTCAACTTTGGAACCAACCGCCTGAAAACCGCATCCCCCATGAGAAACTTCCAAAGTCCCTGGCCCGGTTTGTTTGACCTGGAAAACTCGCAAAGTCGAAGGACGAAAGATGTGCTTAGGAGGAAACAGAAAGGACTACCCCAACGCTACCCGAGGGCTACCAATGACCAGAGTCAGAGCTTGAATTGGGAGTTTGGTGGTTAAATATTTCACAAGTCAGGCGGCAGCTCCGCAAAAAAAACCTAGGGTTCTGAGAGTTGCAAAGGAAAAGACGATTTGCAGTGAGCAAGGGCCTACCAAAAACCATGAGCAACTTCTCAATGGATTTGGGCAAATATGCGATGATGGAAGTGGCTCCCATTCAATTCACAGCTATGTTTTGCTTCACACCCTTTCTCTCACAAACACAGTACATGTGCGGGTTTCCACTCGAAGGGATTTGGCTGTATTCGTTTGAGGATACCAATTTTGAACAACTCTTTCATAGTTACCCTAAAAGAAAACAAGTTTTGGAGCAGACCCCAAAACTGTTACAATCTCTGCGTAGTTTCCTTTAAATGAACCCACAGGTAGCCTTAAAAACTCACCTCCTGAGTGGATGGCCCCAAAAAAGTCAACTTTTTGTATACCACTAAACTGGTCTCCAAAAAGCTGGCCTTTCAAGAGCCACTTAGGAAGTGAAAAAAACAACTTGCTGGTGCTCAGTAGGGAGCGGGAATGAACCGGGGGACTCCCTCAAAGGAAACCATAGGGGATGGCATTTCTTGGGGTCATTCCATTTCTCATTCCCTGCCAAAAGGACCAGCAAGAAAACGCCAAGTGGTTGACCTTTCCCCTTTTCCCCAAAAAGTCCAGCAACTCAGGAAGTGAAAAAAGACACTAAGTGCCACCAAATAACCCACTTTGGTATCATAGGATGGGGTCCATGTTCAACAACTTTGGGGGTGATTCCATTCACAGTTCCGGTTTTGAAGACGACCTCTGCCCCCGAACAAAACCTAGGTCCTCCAGTAGAGAGGTTAGAATCAGGGTGCCTTTTTTCTGTAGTCCATTTTAGTAGGGGAACCGGATCTCCCAACCAAAAAAGAAACGGTGAGAGGTCGGGCACCAATTACTGGGGGACCTAGTTTAGTTCTTTCATGTGAAGCCAAAGGTTTGGTTGATTTTGATTTCCCCGTTGGGTGGGAACCAGGATCGCTTTTATTTAGAACCAACAGGGTAAAACAATATGTATGTATGAGCATATATAATCGAAACAAAAACAACGTATTGTTTTCACAGCTCTACTCTTGGTATGGTATCGAAAAACATTGTTTTTTGCAGACCCCCATATATATATATATATATATATGGCAGTGGCTCAAAATTAAAGAGCTAGGATTACGCAGGTTTTGGTCCAGGTTTCCACTTAGGGTTCCATTTGCTACCCGGCTTTTTGAGCCATGCCCATATAATCAAAACAAAAACAACATATTGATTTCAGCAAATGGAAGCAAGTGAGACCTCTGCCCCCCCCAAAAAAAAAAAAAAACACGACCGTCCAAGCTCTTCGTCTCCTTCTTCACCTGAGTCGCAATCAAAACCTGGTACTAAAATGGTCTATCCACAACCACGGGATTAAGAAAGCGGAGATCCGCAACTATTGATGGCAAGGGGATCGTCCCTTACTAACCTTCATCCACCCGGGTTTTGATTGTGGCTCAACTGAGATTTTACATGTTGATAGGGTGAGGGTGCTTCAAAGATGGTCTGAGACACCCCCCCTATTAATCAACCAGGCGTTATTAATCCGTTGCCATCCTATTTTGAGCTCCTTCGTCACCTCCTCTCCAGCGCTGGCCGCCAGCTGCTTGCCCAGGCGGCTGATGGCCCGCCGTCGCCGCTGCTTCTCCGCCTCCGTCTCCTGTCCGAAACATGTCCTGTGACCCTCCCTTCATTATGGGGGCTGGGGAGGGAGGGGAGGGGGAGTGCCTTAATAAGGGCTTAATAAGGGTTTTTTGGGGCGCCCTCCCCCTCCCTCCCCCCAAGCCCCCATGACTTCAGCTTGATTGGGAGGGAATCCTCCCTCAGCATCGCACATGTCAGGAGGTCCCTCGTAGAGAAAATCGATCTGTGGCTTCATGGCGGCTGGGGACGGAGTGGAGGGGCAGGGAGCCCAAATAGCGGACTGAAGGGTCCGGGAGTCGTGGCTTTGAAGCTTTAATGAGGTGCTTCAGGCCCAGGAGAGATCATGGAAAAAATGGTTTGGGAAAAGTAATGAGGGGCTCACAATGTTTGTTGGGTCTGTTGCAGTGTCGCGCTTTGTTCTATTTGCTGGCCCGCAGGGCTCCCTCCCCCTCCCTCCCCCCCAGCCCTCCGTGCTGGATGAACAAAATCCATTTCGCACCACGAAATAAATCCATGGGAATGAAACCATAACGTTTGCTGTTATTTACGTTGGGGAATCGAATCAGATTCCAGGGTTTCTTCGGTGGTGCAGGATTGCGTCCATCCGCAGTACCACACCTTAGGATTAAAACCCTAGGACAATTACCCAAAATCATCCCAAGTAAACAAACAAACAGGTTTTGTCTGAAAAGTGTTGTCTGGAAATTGGCTAGAATAAGGAGGGCGTCATCCAAGGGTGTAATAGAAAACGCCTTATGAAAGGAATGGAGTCGGCAGCTCGAGATCAAAGGAAACCCAACCCTCCAAGTGTACTCATCAACCAAAAGGGGTTCATGGGTGTGTCTTGTGTTGAGGGGTGGGTGGGAAAAAAGAAGTCGATACTTTTTCTTTGCCTCTAAAATGGCCTTCCCCCCAAAAAAAACAACAGTTCGGAATCTCAGGGTGTGAGTGTTAAACACCATCTCCAGGAATTATCCAGGAAGTTAGCCCAAACAGCTGATTGTTGTGGGTAGTTGGCTGATTTGCTAAACAGTTTGCTGGATATGGTTTCTCAGTACTCAGTTACGCACCTTCAAAGGATCAAACATCCGCCCGAGGGGCACTCATGTTAAAGCATGGCCCAACGGCTATGATTATATGCTGCAGGGTTGGGAAATGGAATCCACTTCTGTGATACAACAAAAAGGAAATCCCAAAGACGAACACCCCATAAGGGGGAGATTCCCAAAAGTATCACAGAAGTGGTTGAATAAACCCCTTGTGATGCCACAACCCTGATATGCAGTGTTCGAACAAAGCCCGAACAGGGAAACGCTGCATGGGAGTTGAATACGGGGCACCCCCGAAATGTTTGCTTTCCTTCTGGCTAATCTTTAAACCCACTCAGTTGTTCAGTGACCCTGGAAAAAAGGGAACCCTTTTTGGGAAGACCATTTTAGTGGGGCAGCCACCAAAAAAAAGAAGGGAAAAAGCGGGCCACTGAACAACTGAGCCCACCTAAACGAGGTACTGTCCTCTCGGCAAAAAGCTGAACTCTTTGTGCTTAAGCGGGGGAGACCCTTAAGCGGGAGACACACACACACACACACAAGTGGTCCAAAGATCCAACCAAACAGCAACCATGGGCTAAACAATGTGGTCACATATCCCAAAGAAGGGGTGATGACCCCGGTTTTTCAAAGGTGCAGACTGCAGGCACCAAATCTTTTCACTCCCGCCTGTTGATTTGAGGTTTAGCTTATGCTTAAGCCTCTTCCTTTGGGACCCATCTACTGCACAAACTGCAGGTGAGTCGCCAATCAAAACCTGGTACTACTTCGAGACCCATGTACAGGACTAAGAAGGCGGATATCCGCAGCTTTTTGTGGTTGGGATCGTTTCTTACTACTCTTCATCTACCCGAATCAGTTTTGAGAGAAATGAATTGCAGAGCGGAAAGCCCCGCCTTCTCCTCCTCCTCCTTCTCTCGCGCCTTCTGCATCTCCAGCTGCGCGCTGCACAACGCCTTCGCAACACTTCAAGGGATGCCTGGGGTTCATTGGAAGCATTAAAATAAACGCATTCAAACATCAAACTAATTGTTCATAGGCCATTGTTCATTCCGATTGCAGGCCACCATGAAAACAATGATTGGGATTGTCCAAATTCATTCTTTTCATGGGGGTTGAGCCCTAGGGTGAGGTTGGCCCCAAAGTAATAAACCAAACCTATTATTAGGGGGTGGTTCGGTGGGGCCCCTCCAGAAGTGGTCTGAATCCCCACAAAAGGGGACACCCTCGAATTCATCAACCCAGGCGGCATAAATCCGGGGTCAACATTCTACAGGGCTCCCTACATTTCTCCTCAAAACATCACCACCATGAAGGGAAGCTCACCTGAAATGGGCCAAAAAAGGTGACGTTCAAAACCACAAAAAAACGAGAAAATAACTCGGGACCCCTGTTCTATGACCCCCGTTTCTCTCAAGGTCATTGAGCCTCCACGCCTGAAAGCTTTGGGGTCTCAAAGCCCAGATCTCTGAGGCTACCTGGGTTTCTTTTTGAGGGCAACAGAAAGGAAAGTCACCTTCTCAGGTTCTGAGTGGCTTGGCCAAAACCAGTCCAAACTTTTTATTTACCACTAATACATGGACTTCCCAAAGAGTTTTTCAAGTCCAGGAACTCAAGGAGTGAGTCTACCAGGTACACCAGACTGCCTGTTAGGGGTATGTACATGTCTATCCAACCAGTCCCATGTTGCTCGGCGCAAAAAGCGCCGAGGAAACGCGAAAACACTACGAAACTGAAGGCTACCCATATCTTCCACTTAAACAACCCAAGACAACACAGAGGCACTGAGCACTGGCAGTGATGCTTACGGACTTGGGGAGTCGTTGGAAAGTTGGTTGCCTGTCTGCTGGTTGCCTCTGCTTTCGTGAGAAGTGGGCTGGGTGGGCTCCCACAGCGCATGGAACCAGGGAAACCAACCGAAAAGGAGACGTGTCACCACGAGATGCGAAAAGTCGCCCATGGTCATTTTGGGGGCCCTGGAATATTTGCGACGTCCCCTGACCAAATGAGGACATATGTCCAGTAGTGAAATCGATTCCCTTTAAAGCCAAAGAGAACATTAAAAGCATATTCTTAACTTAAGCAAATGGAACATATGCGCCAAACAAGTTGAAGGTTAAAGACCCAGCCCACTAGCATTCAAGAGTCTATGAGCCAAGGCAAAAACAGTTCAGCAAGTGGGCGGCAGCGTTAGCTGGGTCTTTTGAGACACCACAGGCTCCAGGACCCGTAGCTGAGCTAACTGGTTTGGCCAACGGCACTGTATCTGCCATAGTGAAAATTCCAAGAGCCATACTCATGGCTTCCTTACTCCTTCTCATCTAAACTCGCTAAGGAACCTAGTAATCCCAAGGGGTCTTCTGACCATACATTACTATTTTTCTAATCCTGATAGGCCATTTGCCGAAAGCAGGCTGGTTTCTTTCTATCCCCCTACCTTACGGTGGAAGGGACCTTACCGTGGTCCAGTTGCCTTCTAGTTTTGCTAAAGACGAAAATAGACTCACTTGAAATGCAGGGCCCAGAGTCCATGAACCTATTCAACCGACATGATTTTCCTTGCAGTACCCCCACTTTTTTAGGGGCAGCCCTCACCCCTCTATTATCAGCAGCATAATTTTTGGCGGGGGACTCGGGCGCCTCAGCATCATCGAGGGCATCCTCCAATAGCTCCTCCGCCTGTGCTCGCTGCAGCTCGATCTGCGCGCACGCCACGTTCCAGGCCTCCAGAGTTCGGTGGTTCCCGGCGCTTCGGTACAGGATCTCCGACGAAAACATGTGCGACGAGGGGGGGGGGGCCCGGGAGGAGGTGTTTTCCCATGATGCGCGATGTATTGCCTTTGTTGGTGGTTTCAAACATCAGTTGAGATTCCTTGTGGGGTCATGTTTAGGGGTAAATAAAAAGAGGTAAAACAGGATCGCTCTAGAATTGATCGCACAAGGGTTCTGAAAAAGGGGGCCAAACATTGTGTATGGGGCTTGGTTGTCTGTTCCATGTTAGTGACCGGGAAGGTTTTTTGTTGGTTGGGGACGCCGGAAATCATGTTGCTCATAGATCCTGGCAGGGCAGGAATGTACAAAGGGCGTCGCTTCCAGTCTGGATGACCGGCCAAAGGAATGCCAATGGTATCCATTTGGTCAAGGACACCAAGCCCAGGAGGTTCCTTTCATTCATCCTGGGGTGAGATTTCTGTCAAACACGTCCTGCCAAACCTATAGATGTGTGTGTGTGTGGTCCTTTTCGGGAGTTGTCCTTCAATCGGAATGAACGCATAACGCCGGGCCCGGTTAGGATGCGCAAAGCCCTTGTGCAGGCCAGCCCAGCGTGGTTGCATGAGGGGGGAAAAGAGAGGCCCAAGAAGGTGAATAGCATAGCTGTCCTTTTCATAAAATGGACGGGTTTCCCAGTAAATGGGGCTAAAACCGATCAAACCAGTGTAACCCATATTTTTCTCTCCCAAGCTAACCGATCAAAGAACACCAAGAAGTCGAATAGAATTGAAGCTTCCCCTTTTAACCATCCCAAAAGTTTGCGCGTACCATGGCAAAGGGTCCAAAACCAAGGTATAGGGGTTAGCGATAGAGGAACACATTCCAAGAACTGTGAAAGGCCAAGCAAGCCCTACAGGCCTCACTGGATTTCCCCCAAGTCAATAATTCAAGTCCCTGACCAGTCCAAGAAACCATGGACCATACACCCATGCATTGAGCTACATCTATCGTCTATGTACTGCTCATTACGTACTCTTTGTGCACACAATGCGCGAAATAACATGTACTACGGACGAGGCGCGCGCAAAAACGAGCAACCGGAATTGGAAAGAGGGAAGCATGTACTTGGTGTCCGTTGAACTGATCGATCCACGTGCATTTGTTGGTTCCCTCTAAAGGGAAATGGCTCGGAAACCCTAGGCCTTGGTCTGGGGGCAATGCTGCCTTGTCCCACTTAAGCATGACTCCAAGGGTGCCCATAGCATTGGCTCAACAAGTGACATGTGTCAAAATAAGAGGAGCCCATCCAAAAGCAAAGGAAAGTGGTTTTCCTTTTGGGGTTCCTTTAACCGTAACTTTCAAAAGGGTACCCTCAACATCACACACACACACACTTCAAACAAACTTAGGAGGCAACTATCGGAATCCCTGCTTACAGTCCCTGCTACTAGCGCCACCGGTCCCCAGCAACCCGCCTCCCGCTGCTTCACCCGCTTAAAGCGGCGCAGTGTGCCTGCGCGATCCCCCTGCCGCTGTTGTAGCTCGCGCTCGTAGGCGTGCGCCTGGCACATGAATTGCGCGGATATGAAAGTCCCCACCTGAGCTGTATTTGTTTTTTTTTGGGGGGGGAAGTCTGCCTCTGATTCATATGTAGGTCCCCCCCACTAACTCCCCTAAATAAACAAGTTCGATTGTTTTCCATCGTTTAGTATTCGATGTGAGTCTAGCCAAACTACTTGTGACTTGTTTACTACGGTCAGGCTCCAGGAAGTCTGGCAATTCAAAGGTCAAATTCCAAGAAGCTTGGCAATACTACTTTACAAGGGGCAATACTACTTTTGATTTGGTGTTGTATTCGGGTCAAATTCCAGGAAGCTTGGCAGTACTCTTCAAAAGGGGCGATCCTACTTTTGATTTGTTTTTGTCTTAGGATGCATTTTCAGGAAGTGACCCAGATCGATCGCTTTCTTTTGAAAACAAGGCAGCACACCACAATTGTTGGGGTCGCCCATACCAGCCGGACACCTCCGTTTGTAGAGGTGTTCTTGTTGTTGTCGCTGCTGCTGTAATCATCATACTCATTCTGACTTTTTGAGAAATCAAGAAACATACATAGCAACAACGTCGACGTCCACAAGTCTAGCTGCTTCACACACAACTTCCTAATTCTCTGCCGGCCATGGATAGGGGCAACAATCACTGAACCAAGAAGCATCCACATGCCTCGGCAAATCAACGCACATGGCCTGCGCATCTAAATGTGACAGAACACTCCCTCTTCTTTCCCAGTCGCCCGCTGAACCTGGCAAATAAAAGGCACTTGTTCTGAGTCGATTCAACTTGAGCGCACCCGAACCATCCACCCCCAAGTTTCCGTCTGACTACTCAAAGGGCCAACCAAACCCTGCGGTCGAGGCATGTGGCCGTCTCTTTGTTTGGGACTACCATTTTGGGTTGATTTAGAAAGGCGACCAAGGGGAAACCAACCATTTTCGGGGGTTCCTGCATACTGTGGATGGACGAAATCCTGCACCACTTGCAAACCATGGGAAACTATTGTTTATTGGTATTTCCAGGGAAATCAAAACTTCTAGGGTTTCTTAGGTGGTGCGAATTGGACTTCGTCCATCCACAGTACTGAGACAAACCAACTCATCAAACCCAACTCCAATCCCGCCTCCGCTTGCAGCTCTTGGGCCTCGTCCTCAAGGTCACGCTCAGCGTAGGGGAGCCCAGTTTAAGGGACAAAAGGTTCACTGGACAGTCGGACCCACCAAAAGTTAGCGGCCAAAAGCCCGGTTACCCCCCAGTGAACGTCCCAACCCCAACTAAAAGGCTTCAAGCATGGTTTTGATTGAAACTTTGAGCACAAGCAAAAGCATCGGACACAATCAGTGTTTTGCAGCTTGGACCCCGTAAAATGCCAGCCAGGAAGGGCCATCCTTTGGGGGGGGGGGGCTGGTGACCGCACCAACGTACATGGCAAACTAAGCAACACTCCCACATCCATGCCTGATTGATTCTCAAATGGTTGCCATAACAAATATGTTGACCCAACCTCATTTGAGCACGTTTGGTGAAATCCTGTCATAGTTGTGTGAACTGACCTTCTGACAAGCTGGGCCATCCGCTTCGTCGCATTTTCGGGTTTGAACGTGGGCCCACGCCACTTCTCACCCGCTCTGAAACCTGCGCAACCCCAAAAAAACAGAACCTCCAGAAGATGAAAGCTCTGAAACTTGCGCACGCCCAAAGAGAAGAAAAAAAACAGAAACTCCAGACCCAACAAGGTCCATAGTGTAAATAACAAGAATAATGAATAGAAATGCAAAACCTTTTTCGGAAGGAAAACGAATTCAATTTAGATATTCTGATTGCAATATGTGCGTACTAGATTCTATTTGACATTCCCATTGGCATTTAGTTAAGACCATGTTTGCACAGGAGCTCATTTTCAAGCTCTAGCTTCAAATCTAAGCTCTAGTTGAGCTGATTTTGTTGTGAACACAAACACCATTATTGCTTAAGCCGCTTTTAATATCAACCCTACTCCAAAGTATGCCCAAAGACCATACATGCCCCTGTCTTGCAGGTCCTCCATAAGCCGCAAGGAGGCGCTTTCACAACCCAGCTTGAACTCATGCAGGCTCACCGCGTCTAGCCTTGGAAAGGTCAGGTTGAAGGCACCAAGTTGGTGGATGGAGCAGTCTCATTGTCATGGCTATGTGGCTGGTGGACATGGATCCCCACCTACATGATGCCCACCGAAGGATCCCTAAGTTAAATTCAGACCCAAATCGAGCTAAGATCCTTCCAAAAAAATCAATAGGACACCACAAAAATCCCCTCTACAAACCCCCTCTGCGAATATTGCACCCTTTGAGTTGACATGAGCTGACATTACCGTGAATGGCAGTGTCCCAGTACAATGCTTCATCCTTCCACAAAACAAGTTAGAACTCTTCTCTTCAGGGGTCGTTCTCTTTACAATGTGGCAGCCAACACCCAGAGAAAATTGGTAGTTTCTGATAGGCTGGGAAGGGAACCTGGGAATTATTCCGTATGCCATGGTGCTGGAAAGGTGTTGACAGTCATCTTTGGGAACACTAAATTCATGGTTGCCATTGGTCGCACCTTGGAAGACACAATCAAGGACCCTCAAATTTGTGGGCTCCTGTTGTTCCCGGGACCAGCTCGCTCTGTTGCTTTCCCACTCGCTCGCTGGTCGGGTGACTGGCTCGCCGGTTGGCTTCCTTGCGCGCTTCTGCGTTTGCTGCTGCTGTGTGCATTTACCCGCGTCTGTCTTGAGTCGCCTGCTTGCTTTCTGTTTGGCTTCAGACGGCTTATTGTTTCTTGTTCTTTGTTTGCGCGTTCCATGTGAAAAGGGGAACCCGTGCGCCAGAGGCCAGGTAACATCTCCCGCAGCACGGACTCGTCGCCGTTGCCTGTCCAACTGATTGGGCGAAGTCTGAACCATTGCTTGGGCTCCTGATTTGGAATTGCATGACGCCCTGTTGGAGAAAGGGAAGGTAACATATCGATAGATGTTGCGGCTTCATGGCCAACAATCAAAGCGCATGGGGTGCGCGCAGCTGGGAATCTGCGTGGAATGGGCGATGGAGCTCTGGGTAGGGTCTGGGTAGGGTGAATTTTTGAGACCAGCATGCGCCAAGACTTAAAAAACAGCAGTCAAAGACTGCTGTGTGCTAGTGCCAACCTGATGGTGGGTTCAGACACTACGGGCCAGCCGCCTTGTGTGTCAACATAGCGCTGGGCCAAAGCAAGTGTGGTTTCCTGCTGCTTTGTGCAGGCAGCGAGCCACAAAACACAGACAAAACACAAATGCGCAGACACACAGAGAAGCACACACACACACACACCAAACACACACACACACAGACACACACAGACAGACACAGACACAGGCACAGGCACAGGCACAGACACAGACACAGAGACACAGAGACACAGAGACACAGAGACACAGAGACACAGAGACACAGAGACACACAGACACAGAGACACACAGACACACAGACACACAGACACACAGACACACAGACACACAGACACACAGACACACAGACACACAGACACACAGACACACAGACACACAGACACACAGACACACAGACACACACACACAGACACACACACACACACAGACACACAGACACACAGACACACACACACACACAGACACACACACACACACAAACACACAAACACACAAACACACAAACACACAAACACACAAACACACAATCACACAAACACACAAACACACAAACACACAAACACACAAACACACAAACACACAAACACACAAACACACAAACACACAAACACACAAACACACAAACACACAAACACACAAACACGCAAACACGCAACAGACAAAACACGCAAACACGCAAACACGCAAACAAACACACACAACACAACACAACACAACACAACACAACACAACACAACACAACACAACACAACACAACACAACACAACACAACACACAAACACACAAACACACAAACACACAAACACACAAACACACAAACACACAAACACACAAACACACAAACACACAAACACACAAACACACAAACACACAAACACACAAACACACAAACACACAAACACACAAACACACAAACACACAAACACACAAACACACAAACACACAAACACACAAACACACAAACACACAAACACACAAACACACAAACACTCAAACACACAAACACACAAACACTCAAACACACAAACACACAAACACACAAACACACAAACACACAAACACACA